AAAAAAAAAAAAAAAAAAAAAAAAAAAAAAAGAAAGAAAGAAAAAAAAGGCAAGAGAAAATGATCTACCAAGCTAATAAAGAATACAACTGCTGCTGTACCGGGCAATCTCACAGTACAGCACTGAAGAAAACAAAGACTACTAGCAGCGTTGGGAAGTGCTCTTTCAAAGCTGTTGAGTAGGCACAAACTTCTTGTTTCAGATCAAGTGTTGTGTCTTCAACTTAAGTGTACTCTTCTTTGGTCTTGTTGGTTGTTACGAGGTTTGTTCCTGGCCTGATCTGAACTTGAAGCAGCAGTTTCAGGTGGTAAAGTCTGTTCTGTTACACTTCATACTAGAAGAAAAAATGAAGATAATAAGTATAACACACAAACAAAATCAAGAACAGAGGGTGAGGAGTGGGACAAACTCATCACATTAACTCAGACTCACTAGTGAGGCAAGTAATATAGAAAACTTGGAAGCACTTATTTGATAGTATTTGAGATTGCTCAAATGAATGCTTTCTTATCACATACTCAAGACTTTAACCTATTTCAGTCCTTACCTTCCACTCAAAAAGCTAGAAATTACTCAATATTCTATTTAGTAAAAGCATTTTATAAGTATCTAACACCGCATTAGCTTTTGTGGAAAAACAAAAAACAAACAGAAAAAAACACTTCCTCCCATCAGTTCACCATCTTGCTGAGAAGAGTTTAACTTGGGAGAAAAACCCATACAACATGCCAAAAATATGCTCAGCTACTATTTATGTATTATGTCACATACCAGAGTAAAACTACTTGTTTACTTATTACGGTATGAGCATCAAAGGAACATGGTGGGTACAGAAAAGATGTGGAATTTGAAATGAAACTAGAAAAACAGGCAGAATTCTAGGGAAAAAAAGTAGAATATTCTAGGCATGAAATATCACATAAACCAAGCCAGATTACTCACCAAAATCTAAGTTCCCTGAGACTTGGAACCATGTGTTATGATTTTTTAAAAAGCCTAGCATCAAGTACTTTTTTTTTTTGTTTTTTGGTTTTTTTTTTTTGCCTGAGTGACTACAGCAACAAGTGTGGTTTATTTCAGAGAAAATCAACAGCCTGGCTAGAACAGAGATTTGGGTTTCAACAAAATAGGATGTGTGGTGATGTAGTACAGCCAGAGTATAAAGCATTTCAATAGGAAACAGGGTTAGTTCTTGATGAAAGTAGTATTAAATCTTGAAAGCCTATGGCAGATGATAGTGAAACAAACAAATCTCATTCAAGCTTCTGTAGTAAATAAATGAGAAAGTACAGAAGAGGAACATATTTGCAGGAAAACTCCACAGAAATCTTATTTATGAAATTATAAATAATTATTTTGCACCGGCCCCAATCTTAGTAAAACAATGCTGTTAATTGAAATGAGTTTTGGCCAGGTGTGGTGGTGCACACCTATAATCCCAGCACTGAATGCCCCCAGCATGCGCTAAGTAGCAAGACAGACCTCGTCTCAGCAAAGCAAAGCAAAGCAAAACCAACCCAAACCAAGCCACATCAAACCAGAGTTTTGTTTTAGATAGGAGTCTCATCATGCTGCCCTGATTGGTCTACAACTCTTGGACTCAAGTGATCCTCCCATAGCCTCAGCAGCATGACAGGTGTGCAACATGTCCAGCAACTGAAATAATTCATACGGGGAGAAGAAAAGGCAGATGTGCTGATAGATGGATAATATATTCATGTGTAGCTAGGAGTGGAGGCACATGCCTGCTGTCAATTACACAGTGAGACCTGTCTCAGAACACTCAAACACACATACACACACAGGCATGCATGTGCACAAAAAACTTGACGTAAGAATGACTATAGATGGGCTGGGGATTTAGCTCAGTGGCTCTGCCGCCTGCCTTGAAGCAAAGCACAAGGTCCTGAGTTCAAACCCTGGTACCAAAAAAAAGAAAAAAAACAAAAAAGAATGACTCTACGGTGAGAAATCAGTGCTGTCAGTTTAGACTAGGATAGCTCAATTCCAACAGGTGATGTACTTCAGGCATCGCATCACCTGCCAGGTAAACAAGAAGCCCTGAGTTCTATCTGACACCACAGAAAGAAGAAAAAAAAAAAAGCCTCACCAAAACTGGGCTACATAGTGAGGCCCCAAATAAGCAAAGTCCTTCAATTTCAGCATGGTGCTATGACACTTTCTTGTAATCCCGCTATTTAGGAGCATAAAGCAGGTGGATCACTTGAGCCAGAAGTCTGAGACAGGAGGATCACCATGAGTTCAAGGCCAGCCTCAAATATAAAGCCAGACCCTGTCTGTCCTCAAAAGAAACAAAACAAACTTCAGTGATTTTTTTTTGTTTTTTTTTTTTTTTTTTTTTTGGGCCATCATTCTAAGAAGGAGGTTCTTAATCCTGACTAATCAATCATTTAACTCAACCACCTGGGCAACTTTCAAAACAAAACCTGCACAAAGTGCTGGGTGTGGTGGTACACAGCTGTAATCCCCAGACTAGGTCACCTGAGGCAGGAGGATCACTGGGAGAAGCCAGCCTAGGTTACATAGTGAGTTCAGGGCCAGCCTGAACTATACAGAGAGATCTTGTCACAAAACAAAATGAATCTGCAAAATGAAGCGGAGTCCCACACAGAAATTCTAAATTTACCAACCTAGGGTAGGTGTCAGGCACTGGTAAATTTTCTTGTGTGTGTGTGTGGGGGGGTGGGTTTGAGACAGGGTCTCCCTATGTAGTTCAGGTTGGCCTCAAACTTACCATGTGTAGCCCAAGCTGGCCTTGAATGCACGGTAATCCTCCTGCTTCAGCCTCCCAAGTGCTGGGATCACAGGAGTGTACTACCAATGCTTGGCTGGTAAATTTTCTTTCTTCTCTATCAAAAGATTTCAGAGTTGCAGTAAGGATTATACCACTACTTAAGATGTCTCTATTCTTTTTACTGTTTTTCACTTCTTTTCTCAGATAGGTCCATTCCCTCCCCTTATCCTTTTGGCATGCTCCTAAAGTCTATCATTCTTTGTTGCTATGGGTCTTCCCACCAAGAATATAATTCTGACATCTTTAAAATGACAAAAATCTCTTCTTGACCATTCTAGCAGACTCATTACCTTCTTAATGTCCACTGAAAGAACAGTATCCAGTGGCTGCTCTCTGGTATCAAATCAATCTGCATTTTTTTGTGGGGATGTTAATGCGGAATCTAGGGTCTTCACATTGAGCCACATCCCAGCCTATTTTTAAATTTTGAGACAGGGTTTCATTAAATTGCCCAGGCTATGCCCAAACTTTTAATCCTTCTGTCTCAGTCCCCTACAGTGCTGGGATCACAGATGTCTGTCACTATGCACAGCTTGTTTCATATTTATATATTTTTTAAATTATGCCTCAAATTTCTGAGAAGAAAATTAACTTCATCACTACGCCTGTCACTGCTGCTAAACAACTATAGCAGAAATATACCAAAAAGATAGTGAATCCATAATGGGCAAAAGGATATCACAGTTCAAGTGTAAATAGTTCTTTCTATTAACTTTAACTGATGGAATTCTAACTATCCAATCAAGAAACAATAGTCTGTTTGTATAATAGTTTTATCTTAATGCCTTAGGTTTATTTATGGATTCAATTCTATGTAGGAAAAAGAAAACAACAAAAACTAAAACAAAACCCCCAAATACCTCTTAAAATGTCAACTGTATTATAACCCAATCTAAAGTACTGTGTATTAAGAACTGTCAAGCTTCTTATCCAGTAACACAAATAAGACACTTCCAAAATCTAAAATCTGGAGAACTGCAGGGCCAATCTTTTTTTCTTTTTTTAGAAACAGGCTTACACTATGTAGTTCAGGTTGGTCTCAAACTCAGTGATCTTCCTTCCTCAGCCTCCAGAGTGCTGGGATTACAGGCCACCATGCCCAGCTGCAGGGCCAATCTTGGATACTAATGAGACCTATTAAGATCTAACAAAGCTCAATAAACTTACCAGAAATCTTGAATTCAGAGTGACTAAATTAACATCTTCAAATCTATGAATTTTCTAATATAACCACTTCTCAAATTAATACTGAAGGATTCCAAGGTACTTTTTATAGGTCAGGCATGTATAAAATGGTTATCTACTTATGCCAAGATGAACATTTATCCACCCATGGGTATTGACAATTTCTTATATCCTTCACCCTCTGAACATAGAGGTAAGACTAGGAACAATTTTAGAGTGTCTCCTTGATTGCTAAACAAATCAACTTTTTCTCTTTGCTCAATTTGGAAAAAGCATCATTATTAATAATCAACCACTACATCACTGTTTTGGGAGTTAAAGCTAATTCCTTCACTTGAACTGGATAGTTACTCCTCACTGGCACCAGTTTTAAAATTATCATCACTCATTTGTTATTTATTGTCTCCCTCATAGCTGCTTTGACTCAAAGGTCATGGACGCAGCAGTCGCTAAATCAGTATGTGCCTAACTAACACATTTATTTTTGGTGGTGTGACGCACAGGATTTATTTTGACCCCACCAGTCCCTCATCCTACACCTGGGCTCAGCATGCCTGTCTGTGACAAGTCCCCGCTTCAGTTTGCAAGTCCACACCCTGACTGGCTAGCAGACTCACTCAGCACTCAAGAACACCCTCAAGTGAAGTGTTTGTACAGGGGTTCCAGTGGCACTCCCCGTCTGCTGGGGCCTCTTGCTTCAGCATGCCCAGGCAAATCACACAAAACGTCAACTCAAAGCCAATCCTGATCTGTCAGTTTTATGTTACCTTGGTCTGTCCTCTTGTAGACATGCTGCTGTAAATGAAACAGACCTCCTGGTTTGCAAAGGTGATTACCTGGTGGCTGTCATCTTTATGCACAGATCACAGAGCATATCAGAGACTCGCTTGCCCAGGGAGAGAAGACATGAAGGATGTGGTGGGATTTGGCTTCTGACATGGTTTCTAGGTCTAGAACATCAGGCCGCATGACATCACTGCACAGTGTAAAGTAAAAAGCAGGGCCAAATGACAGGTAACTAACAGTGAGCCCCACAGGCGTCCCTTGATGTTCAAAATTGGTGACTCTCACTGGTTTGCAGGCTCTCACCAGCACCCCCACATCATACCAGCCTTGGTTTTTGTGCTGGGCACCAGGGAACACCAGCTTCAATGGCTTTGCAAACATCTTCAGGTGGGAACTGGGATCAAAGGAGGCAGTGATCATGACTTTGGGATCCTTGAAACCTGCCCATCAATATTTATCATCTACATGGCTGGTCATACCTTCACCACCAAATTATCAGGGACCCCTGTAAGGCCAGAGGCTTCTTGACCTAACTCTGGGAATGAGGCAGTTTTCTTTGGGCGTGCCAGACTTTCTCCTTCCTTTCCTGGATCACTGCACTTCCTAGCAGGCCTAGCAGCACAGGAGCTATATTTGAGGAGCAGCATCCTGAATGCCACCTCCACATGAGCCTAGAACTGTCACCTGCATTTGAACAACTAAAATATTTATGTCATAAGAAATCTATCTATTATATAGCCAGGTGTGTTAGTGCATGCCTATAATCCAGTACTCCAGAAGCTGAGGCAGGAGGATCACAAGTTTGAGACCAGCCCAGATCCTACCTCAAAAAACAAACAAACAAAACCCAAAAAAACAAAACAGCAACAACAACAAAAACACACCAAAAAGCAAAAACACACACACACACACACACACACACACACACACACACACACACAAATGCATCACAATACAGGGGTTTGTTTTGTGAGTCAGGGTCTCCCTCTGTAGCCCAGGCCGGCCTTGTATTTAACAAACATAACCAAAATTTATATCCCTTGAAATCTGAACTGGGTGTGGTGGGGTATGCCTGTAATACCAGCACTCAGGAGGCTGAGGCAGGATCACTGCACCTCAAGGCCAGCCTGAACTACACAGCAAAACCATGTCACAAGCAAGCAAGCAAACAAAAGAAATCTGATGCTACTGTATACAGTATGTTTCAATTCTGACTAGTTACACTTTAAATGCACAAAAGCTTCATGTAAACAGTAGCTACCACAGTCCACGATGTGAACAAGAGGGAGAAAACATGCCTACTAAAGCTAAAAGCAAAAGAAAGACTACAGGACAGATTTTCACTAATAAAAGGAGGCAGTACCCAATACAGACTTGAGCTTACAGTCACTAAATTGAAGAAGTAGAAGTGCAAATAACTAGTTAGGTACTGGCTATGGCTGCAAACCAACAGTTTACATGTGCAACTGAGAAAACTGTCCAACTGATTTTTCAACTGCATATTAATGTTTGACTTCAGTATAAAAGGACGTATTAGTTATTTTTAAAGTTTTGCATTATTTTGTTTCTAATTAGGTACTCCACAAAGGGAAGCAGAAAATATTATAATATTGAGACAGGAATTTTAAAAAATCCTGACTGGGCACAAAGGATTTTAAAGCAAGGAATGAAGGGATTCAAGAAAACAAGTCACACTCTTTCTTTTTCTTTTTTGAGACAGGGTCTCTTTATGTAGTTGAGACTGACCTAGAACTCACTATGTAGCCCAGGATGGCCTCGAACTCAGAGCAATCCTCCTGCCTCAGCCTCCCAACTGCTGGGATTATAAGCGTGCACCATCTTGCCCGGCCACGCTTTATCTTTTTTGAGACAGTCTCTTGGTGATCCTCTTGCCTCAGCTTCCCTGAGTGCTGGGATTACAGGTAAGTATCACCATGCCCGACTTACAAGTCACTCTTAAGACTACATTCTATTAAATTTTATAAAGTACACTTAAATTTTTTTAGCTGAAATGTTTCTCTATTATGAAACTGCTTTAACAGCTCTCCTTGCTTCCTTAAGTGATTCCCCTTTGCTTTTTTAAAGACATAGCTAAGGAGGCATATTTTTTGCATTTAAAGAAACCTCACAATTTTTATCTCATTTTCCAATACACTTCTAATATTAAATCTCCAAAAATATGCCCAATTTCCACGTTTCAACCACCCTGTTGGAAGTACGGCTCTCAAAGCAACACCAATGAACTGTGTACTTAAAAGGGTTTAAGTGGTAGATTTTATGTTATGTATTATCTCACCACAATTTAAAATACCAAGAAAAGATGGCTTTACAGTTTTTAAGCGGTGGGAATGAGGGAAGAAAATGGATAAGATAAAGTAGGAAAGCATGTCAGTGTTCAATTTTCCTTTCTACAAATTTATTAGAACTTTCAACTACACTCTTTAAAGGTCATACATGTTAAGTCAGAACTTATTTACAAAAAAAGAAAACCTATCTTCTGTGCCTTAAATACTTTACTTTTCAACTCAGCTGCTATAAATACTCATCACGATGGTAAACATCCAGAGCAGCTGCAAAACCACTCGAACTATTACTGGTGCTTTTATTCCAGTTCTAGAGCTCAAAAGAAACAAGGTCGAGTATTTATCTAGGTTTTGAGGAGTCATATATATGCCTATTCAAGTATGTAATAAATTTCCTCCTTATCCACACCAAAGTGATATGATATACTGTCTGCCCTTAGTTTTCTAGGAACTCAAAATAAAAACAAGCGTTTTGGTAGAGAAGCTTGTATTAGTGGGCTATAATCTGGAACTTAGCATTTTAAAAAAGGAAGTTGGTAGCTTTGGCTATGAACTGCCCGTTCATAGCAGCATAATAAAAGTTTTAAGTCTCAGAAGAAATAGATTTAACTATTTATTACAGTGCCTTTAAGCATCTTTGCTCCTATTTGACTCCCAAGAATTTTAGGTGCAAAACAAGGAATAAACTCGTCCAATTACAGTATGTACAGTTTCTTTTTGGCAGTGTTAAAGGGAGTGTTCTCTGCCTCACTTGTGAGTCAACCAAGACAGCAGCCATCTGTGTGTTTCTGAGGGTAACTTTCAAAGCAAAATAACTAAAATTTCGCAATGATAAAATATCAGAAGCCTGGGCATGCTGGCGCACGCCTGCAATCCCAGCATTTGAGTGGCAGAGGCAGGAGGATCGCCGCTCGTTCGAGGCCACCTTTAATTAGAATGAAACCCTGTCTCAACAAAACACCCAAACAAAAACAGTGAATGGTAAAAACCTCACATATGTCTCTAAGTGGGGCTCCTAAAAAGTAACTTTACACAGAATGATGAAGCCAAGCTGTTCATTGCACAATGTGAGGCACTACAGGAGACAGAGGAAATGGTAGAGGCTACCACTGATCACAGAACACGCCGATTCCTCCTATAGAGAGATGGGAGACACATGCTTAAAACATTAAGCAAGGCGAAGGGGAGACCAACTGGGTCTGGATGTTGAGACCCAGCTGTAGATGACTGGAAGGTAATTCTGCCGTGCTACAGTGCCAGTTTTGGATGAGGAAAGGTGTCTCCCTAAGTACTTCCTCTAGAAGGAGCGAGTTCTCAGTTCCCACACAAAGAAGGCGCCACTGCCGCACTGCGCTATGGTATTCGTAGTCATATCCCCAAGCTGTGGACGGCCAAGAAACAACAGGGTCCGGAGACAGAGTAGGCCCCTCTCCTCTGCCTCTAGCTCTTTCTGCTACACACAAAGGACCGCGCTACCAATCCCTCGCCCCGCCCGCCGGGACTTGTAGTTCCCGTTTGCCCAGCCAAGCCGCAGAGGGGGAAGCGGCCAGACTACAGCTCCCAGCAGCCTCCGCGCCCGAGCCCCGCACCCTCGGCCTCCATCTTGCCTGCGGTCGAAGCCTCCATTTTCGCTCCCTCCCCCCACTTTAATCACCACCACCGCTACTACCACGCGCGCCCCTCTGGCTTCAACTCCTCGCTACAGCCCTGCGGCCTGACATGAGGTCCAGACGGTTGAATAGGGGAACGAAGAGACAAGCCCAGGGTAGGAAACAGGGTGGGTGCTTCCCTACTCGGAGCTCAAGTGCCCACCTTGACTCAGAAGTCTCTCCCGTTAGTCTTGGTCTTCTTTCGGCCCTTAGCTAGGTTTCTTACTACCCCCCCAGTTGGACCCGGAGGTCGTACTCACCCCAACAGCTCAGCGCCCCCTCTCCAGCGCCGCCATAAGCAGCACGGCCCGGTACGTAGGAATAAATCTCGCTTCTCTCGCGAGAGTTACAGGCTCCGACTGCGTGCACAGGAAGGGAGGGGGAATGTGCTCTTCCTACGCTTGCGCAAAAGGGCTGAGTGACGCCAACCAGCTGTCTGCGTCTAGCCACAACCAAGATGGTGGCTATCTATATTTCTTCTTGTCTGGCAAGAAAGCTACTTTAGTATTTATTAACTCCGCTGGGTTTCTAGGGGTGAGGTGGAACGTGATTTTAGGCGTCTCTGGGCTTTACTAACATGAATGTTCTGCACAGCGAGGCTAGGGTAAACCTTGAGTAATATCATAAAAAAGGGTTTCTCTTCCCAAAGATAATCCGTAAGTCCTCAAACCTGTTTCTCTTTGCTCTCAGGGCAAGCGTTCTTTCTCTTTTAAATTCAAATGAAATTTCATTAGTATAGAGTTAGGTTTTTAGCCAGGTAATTTAGAAGCCTAAACTAGACCTTTATCTTCCAGAAATTACATTGCTTGCAACAGATAGACAAGAGTGAGGAAGGCTGTACAATCACTTCAAAATAAAGCAAAGCCAAGCCGGGAGTGGTGGCCCACGCCTGTAATCCCAGCACTTGGGACTCCAAGGGAGGGAGGATAGCTGAGAAGTCTAGGCCAGCCTGAGCTGCCAAATTGAGGTCTTATCTCAAAAATAAAACAAAAATCAGTAAATGTACTTAAAAGGTTGAAATTTGGGCAAAGTGATGATTCATCTAATGAAGAAATAAGAGAAGGGAGATAGGCAATTCTAGCCTCAGAAAATTTCAATGGATTATTCTTTTTGAACAATAAAAAATTCCAGTCCTCACCTGAATGCTTTTCAGGATTCAATGACTCTCTTGACAGTACAGGGTTATGGTCAGTCACTTTCCTCTTTACCACCTCAGGATCCGATTAGGTGTGTCAAGAAGCCTGGCTAAGGGAGAGTAGAATATTGCACCTCAAATATACTTTTCTTTTTTTTGAGACAGGGTCTCACTATGTAGTTCAAACTGGCCTTGAACTCACTATGTAGCCCAGGCTGGCCTGAAACTCACAGCAATCCTCCTGTCTCAGCCTCCTGGGAGCTGGGATTACAGGCATGTGCTCCCACGCCCAACTTCAAATATACTTCTTAGGTGCAGTTTGAGTTGAATATTAAGAAAAACTGAAGACCTCTGAAAATAAAGGCATGGCTCAGAAGGAAAAAAAAAAAATGTAGTAAAGTATAGTGGTTTTCTCTGCTGAGCTTCCCCTTATCTTCCTAGGAATGACCCTTTGAGAAGAAATCAGAGGTCTCATACCTGGTCCAGGCAGAGTTTAACCACAGATAGTCTTCTGAAGGTGCTACCTAAGTAACTTTGACTGCCATTAGTTCCTCTCCTGAAACTCTCAGTGGCTTGTTTCTGCCTCTCCCCTCTGGGAGCCCCAACCCCTATTTTTGTCCTGTACAATACAATATACATATCAGCTCTCTTTTTGTATGTGGCTCCCAAGCCTATGCATTTGTTAACTTTTGTTTACTGTCAATATCATAAACTAAAACTATCAAACCTTCAGAGGGAAATAAGAATTTTTTTAAAATTTTGAGACAGGAGCTTGCCTTTATGAACAAAACCTCAGTTGCATAGGAACTAGTGCAAAGAATCAACAACTGGGATCTTACCTTGTTAAAAAGCTTTTGCGCAGCAAGAGAAACCACCATCAGAGTGAAGAGACAACCCACAGAATGGGACAAATGTTTTGCCAGCTGTTCCACAGACAAAGGAGTACTATCTAGTATATAAAAAAAACTAAAAAAAATCAGACCTCCCTAAACTTAAAGACACAATCCAAAAATGGGCATCTGAAGTAAATAGACACTTCTCGGATGAAGAAGAAGAAACAGCAAATAGATATATAAAAAAATTTTTCAGTATCACTGGTCAATCAAGAGATACAAGTTAAAACAACACTGAGATTCCATCTCACTCCAGAAAGAATGGCTGCTGTCAAGAAATCAACCAATAACAAATGCTAGAAAGGCTGTGGGGGAAAAAGGAACCCTTCTCCACTGTCCGTGGGAGTGTAGACTGGTGCAACCACTGTGGAAATCAGTGTGGAGATTTCTCAAAAAATTAAAACTGGAGTTTCCATTTGATCTAGCTATACCTCTTCTTGGTATCTTCCCAAAAGAATTAAAAGCATCATACCGAGGTGATATATGCACACTCATGCTTATAATGGCACAATTTCTTATAGCTAAACCTTGGAGACAGCACAAATTTGCATCAACCAATGAGTGGATAGAGATCTTTTTTTATACAATGGCGTATTACTGTGTGGTAAAGGATGAGCTTGAGACATTTATAGCTAAATGCATGCACCTTGAGACCATACTCTTAAGTGAAATTAATCAGACACACGTGTTTAAATACCACATTGTTTCTCTGGTGGGAGAAACCAAAAGTGGAAATAAATACTAAATTGGGAAACGGGGGAAAAGGGGTGGCTAAAATCAGTTCAGTGGGTAAAATCAGTTCAGTACTGGGATCAAACTGGAATAATAAAGGATTTGTAAGGGGAAAAAAGAGAGGCAGGATCTTACTAAGTTGCTCAGGTTGGGATCAAGCTTTGTGATCCTCCTGCCTCAGCTAACCAGAACGCTGGGATTATAAGTGTGCAACACCATTCCCAGTTTTCCCTACATTTTTATTACATTTATTTGGCATCTTGTATGTGTAAGAAGAATACAGTAGTAAAAAAAAAAATGGACATGTTCCTATACTCAAGGAACTTTCCATCTAGCTTCCATACATAAGCACAAAACCAAGTCTAAACATACAGATTAGAATACATGCAGGCCAGATGTGGTGGCCCATACCTGGAATCCCAGCACTCAGGAGGCTGAGGCAGGAGGATTACCATGAGTTTGAGGACAGCCTGAGCTGCATGGTGAGTTCATGGCTGGCCTGAATTGCATAACAAGTCCCTGTCTCAAAAAGAGGAGGTGGGAAGAATGATGCACAGTAGTAAGAATGTTTGTAGGGAGCCAGGGATTTAGCTCAGTGGTTCTGCTGCCTGCCTTGCACAAGGTCCCGAGTTCGATCCCTGGTACCAAAAAAAAAAAAGAATATGTAGGGGGCTGGGGATTTGGCTCAGTGGTTCCACTGGCTACCACGCAAGGGCTGGAGTTGAATCCCTGGTACCAAAAGAGAAATGAATAAATAAAGTAAAAGAATGTATGTAGAACTCTGAACAAACCATCATGAGCTCTTTTTTTCAGGGGGGGGTATTGGGGATTGAACTTGGGTTGTTGCGCTTCCAAGGCAGGTGGTAGAACCACTGCGCTAAATCCCTGGCCCTATCGTGAATTCCTAAGGGAGGCAGAATCCCATTTCTGTTCAAAGATGTTCTCTTTCTCCACTGTTGTTGCTCTTGTTCCTGTCCCATGCACACCACTTTAGTGCTGCCTCTTTGCTTTGATACTTTCCCTTGCTTTCCAAAGCACAGATATTTGCTTCACTTTGAATGATTTCATCTTTCACTCTTGACACTTTAAGACAGGGCTTCTGACATTCATCTTTGTATCCCTGGTTTCTTATTGCCTGGCATGGACAACTCTCAAAGAAGCTTCTCAAATGTGTGCTCTTCTTGCCCCAGCCTCCTAGAGTACTTGTATCATAGGTGTACACCACCATGCCCAGCTTCTTCATTCTGTTTCTTGTGTGTGTGTGTGTGTGTGTGTGTGTGTGTGTGTGTGGTACTGGGGATTGAATTCAGAACCTTGTGTTTGCAAGGCAGGAATAGCACCACTGAGCTAAATAATCCCCCCCCTTTTTTTTGTGTTTTTTTTTTTTTTTTTTTTTTTGAGACAGGGTCTCACTTTGTACTCTAGGCTAGTCCTGAACTCACTATGTAGCCCAGACTGACCTCAAACTTATGGTGATCCTCCTGCCTCAGCCTCCTGAGTGCTGGGATTACAAGCATACACCACAACATGCTATAAGGAAATTTCTTGAATGAATAGCACACTGGATAGCAGTATGAGAAGGTGTTAGAAATTGGAATGTTCTGCTGGAGAAATGCAGAATGTAAAACATTTCTAACCAGCTGTGTGTGTCCTTTGTTGAATTATTAAATATAGGCCCCCTTTTCCTGGCAAGAGATCTAGTCAGGATATTTGAATCTAATAGTACAGAAAAACTGTCGTGGGTTATTGCGCTAGATACAAGGTCATGTGAAGCTCGCTAAAAGTAGCATAAGGTCTGGGAGCACACATTCTCAACTATCTCAGCAAAGGAAAGTGTAAAACATGATTGCATCACTGCCAATACCATTCTAACAATACCATTTCTGTTAACAAGAAAGGATAAAAACCTGATTTCTACCATTAAATGTAGCATCTATCTATCTACCTATCTAGAGACAGAATCTCAGTAGGTCTCTAAATTTCCCAATCAGGGCTTAAATGTATGATTACCCTGCCCCAGCTCCAGAGAGCTGGGATTACAATGTGTGCCACCATGTCTGACTTCTAAAACTTCTAGAGATTTTTTTTTTTTAATTTTTGGTGATACTGGAGATTGAACCTAGGGGCTTTGCACTGAGCTACATCCCCAGCCTTTCTTATGACTCACTATTTTTTGAGGCAGGGTTCACTAAGTTACTAACCTGCTCAAGTAGAATTTTAATTTGTGATCCTCCTGCCTCATCCTCCCAGCTCTGGGGTTACAGGTCTGTGCCACCAGCCAGGCCGATCTAACTAATATGACCATTTCATTACTTTTATTCTGAAGGTCTCAATTGCCTTTCAATTCCTCCTTGATCCAAAATTAGTATCAATCACGGGGATTTAGTTCAGTGGTTCCAGCACCTGCTTCACAAGCACAAGGACCCAAGTTCGATCCCTGGTACCAAACAAACAAACAAACAAAATTAGTATCAATCAGGCTGGGGATTTAGCTTAGTGGTGCTGCCGCCTGCCTCTCAAGTTAAGGTCCTGTGTTCGATCTCTGGTACAAAAAGAAAATTAGTATCAGTTTACATTTATCTACATATCTATCTATTTATTTACTTAGAGACAGGATCTTGCTATGTAGTCCAGGCTGGTCTCAAACTTGTGGCAATGCTCTTACCTCAGCCTCCTGAGTGCTGAGATTTAAGATAGGATTCTTATGTGCCACAAAGCCTGACAGTATCAATTTACATTTAGTAGAAAATGTAATTATGTATAAATGCAGAAGTATAAGTTTTAGCTTCTAATGCATTAGAGGAAGGAACAGAGGAAATAATTTGATTTAAATCACTTGTTAAAATGATTTATTCTTTGGACCATTGCAACCTATAAGTAGAGGCAAGATCTTTAGTCCACTAGGGAACAACCATCAGAAAAGAAATTGTAAGTTATTTTTAGTTATTCATCATACTCATTTTTCTACCTTGGGAAACTTTTTTTTCTACCTTGGGAAACTTAAATAGACAATTGATTATGGTTGTGTGTTTTATTCTCTACAATTGTCAGTAAGCATATTACTGTATTGCAAGAGTCTATTTAAGAATTAAAAGTGTCAGGCATGGAGACACACGACTGTAATCCCAGCATTCTGGAAGGCTGAGGTAGGAGAACTGTGAATTTGAGCCTAGGCTGGGCAATTTAGTGATTTAGCAAGACCCCGTCTCAAAAATAAAAAAGGACTGGAGATATAGCTTAGTGGGGAAACCTGGGTTCAATCCACAGTAATAAAAATGAAAAGAAAAAGGTTAGGGATTTAACTCATTGGTTCTGCCACCTGCTTTGCAAGCACACGGTCCCCAGTTCAATCCTTGGTACCAAAAAAAGAAAAAAAAAAAAAAAAAAAAAAAAAAAAAAAAAGAATAACAAA